TACTTGGTATTTCTGTTAAATGTTGTATTCATGAGTTCTCTTTCATGATCTCCTCGCGCTGCCGTGAGCATCGAAAATGCATGTTCTGTAAAATTTGTAGCAATCTGTGGAATTATAAGAATAAGCATATTGGTGCAAATTCGTGCATGAATTTTAATTAAGGACGCTAATTGTATTAACCCAGTACAATGAGAAGTAGTATCGCTATATACACTAAAAGAGAAGATTGTACGTCAGGTGTAAGTCACAGATTAGATACAGCGGTGGTAGATGTGGAGCAGGAGTTGTCGGCACACAGGTGACTTGCACTGCTTGACCAGTTCATGTCGTATCACCGACATCTGATTTGTTCGGTATCCCAATTTTGTTATCGCAACAAAAAAAACACCTTTGTCGACACAATTTGATAACAACCCACTCATATCTACAACCAGCCGTATAGTTATAAATAATTCAAATTCCGACTACCTGAATTTTGTCAGTCGGGATGATTAACATACGAAGAAGGCATTTTATTTTGTGAAGTAATTTACGTGATCAATTCGTCCCAATGTACTTCAGGGTGGACGAATTGTCTTTCTGGAAACCTTCTGAAGCGTACTATAGTACCAAACGGCTGAGGTGCCCTCACTGGGACCGGTGTAATGTTGATAATTGATCCCCGTGGAAAATGGAACCGGGTTCAGTTTTAAACGTTGAAAATAGAACCGGGAAGCCGTGGAAAAAGAACCTAACTCAAAGTGGTTTTTTTTTACATGTCCGTTGAAAATGTATCCCATCAAAAAGTGAACCATACGAACCATAAGCATTTACTACATTAAAGCATCTGACCTATTTTTCAAAAATTTGACCTTCACTAATAAAAGGTCAGAAACTAACCCAGTATGGATGTGAGACCTGATTAGGTAAAACAACAAATCTAAACTTTGCTTTTTTTTGAAAAAAAGAAGGTTTACTTACGAACAAAATGACAATTTTAAATAATGTAGGTTTGTTTTCAGTTTAAACAATGTATATCGGTTTTTTTTAAGTAGGTCATGTTGAATTAATTATACAAAACAGAATTGTGTGCATATTTCTGAACCCAATGATAAATTATATTAGTGTAAGTCACAGTGACCTGATTTGGTCGGACTGGGGTGCCAAGTTACGACATGAGATCATTTTAGTCCGTTTTCCACTGTCAATTTTACACGGGCTACTCGTGGAAAATCGACTTCTTACGGGGTCCATAGTCTACGGGAGAGTCAGTTTTCTATCGCTACCCGGGTCCATTGTTAACGTTGGAAACTAGCCCCGATTCCATTTTTCACGGGGTCCAATTTCAACGTTTACAAGCCAGCAATAGAATAAAAGTAATAATACATATTTAACTAGCTTCTGTTGTATATTGGAGAAGCATCCAGAGGTTAGTTTCGTGCCAAATTAAAGGTTGCAGATGTTCTTCTATTGCATGCATTGTTTCAGTGATTTTTTCCGAAGTCTTCTGTGAAACGAAAATTGCATCGTGGAAGAGAATTGTGAGATCAAAATTTTTCTCTGATAATATTTTCATAATTTCGTTAAAAACGTTAAGCGGTTTTTGAGATATGACAACCTTATTTCGGAATTATTATTTTAATAAAAAAAAAATCGCCGAAAGCTTCCTTCGTGCCTTTGGCCTCTTGTTTCCTTTTCTTTCAAGAAAAGATAAAACTTGAAATAGTCATTAATATACTACAAGTAGGCTCGTCACGAAGCATTACAAAATAACAGATAAATCTAACATGTTTCGTTTGAGTGTAAGATAATAGAAATTAGGGAATCTATCTAAGCTATAATGACCCATTAAGGTTAAAATGTCTTTGGGGTCTCGGATAAAAAGGCTGTTTATGAACATAAATTCTGCAAATGAATCGTTCAATAAAATGTCGCGCTATGTCTACCATATTTCGTCTTGAATTAACGTTATAAAGAAGAAACAATATAGTTAATGTGATAGGCCGATAAAGAGGCAATTAACATATTTTAAATGGATTGCATTGGTTTTTGTTTGGTTTTATTGTGTTTAACATCCCACCAACAGCTTAGGTCATTATTTAATAGTAGATCTTCTGTTAAGATAATAAATGCAGGAATACCTCAGGGTTCGGTTCTTGGCCCGTTGCTGTTTATACTATATATTAATGACATAACAAACAATATAGAAAGTCTATTAAAACTTTTTGCTGATGACGCCTCTCTTTTATATTCGGATAAATTACCACAAGTAATTGAACAAAAAATGAATAATGATCTCGTATACAATTGTGGGCAGATAAGTGGCTGGTTAAATTTAATCCTGAAAAAACAGAGGCTTTACTTATTTCTAATATTGAACTTGATCACCTCATTGATGCATTGTATTAACTTGCACAATGTAAGTATTGAATTTGTTGAAAATCATAAGCATCTGGGAGTATTCATCAATGCTAACTGTAAATGGACCTGTCACATTGAAAATATGTAAAAAAAAAAAAAAAAAAAAAGTTGTTAAACAATTAAGTGTCCTCCATAAATTGAAATATACCCTGAAGCGACGTACACTGAATAAGATATATAGAACATTTATACTTCCTGTTCTAGAATATTGTTGTGAACTGTGGGATGGTTGTTATATTTCTGATACAGACAAATTAGAAAAGCTGCAACGTGGGGCTGGAAGTATTGTTAATGGCTTACCGTCGTTTACTAGTAGACAATCTATATATTGTCGATAACTCTCACTATATTCTTCGAAACGCTGCAAACTACAACTTACCTAACAACAGACTTGAATTATCTAACGTATCCTTTTTTTCATTCTGAACAGATTCTAGTAACCCCACCCCCGGTCCTCTCTCTCCCTTGCTCTCAATAGGAAATTATGACAATGATTGATAGTAACAAATATAAAGTATAATTTTATGTAACAATGTAATAAATTATGTGCTTGGTCTAGCGGAAATATAAGAAAGCACGGAGCGAACAGGAGGAAGGTTTTATAGGAATGTGATGAACATTTGAACAGCAAAAAGTTGTGAACAGCGAATTGAATATCACTAATTCCGTTTGCATGGAGAAATAACAACCACATGGTCCGATATACATTTTTACATTATCGGTTGTTTTGTCATCATCTGTCATACATTAATAATGATGGGGATGTATGTACTATCATATATGTGTACTCTCTCTCTCTCTCTCTCTCTCTCTCTCTCTCTCTTAATTTCAATTTATAAATCAAAACATTTGAAAACGAAATAGTGTATAGTATATATGTATATTAATCAAGTCTGCCATCTTGTCATATTGTAAATGTATATGCTTGTAATTTGCTGGGAAAGGGCTTAATATAAGTTTAATAACTTTTGCCAAATCCATCTGCTTGGCAATACAATATGTTTAAACTAAAGGGTCATCTACGAACGTGTGTGTTGTGTATGCGTGCTTGCGTGTCTGTGTGCAGGAGGCAACTTGAGGTATGTTGGAGTGTTTGCCTCCTTGTGATAGCGAAGATCTGATGCCGACTTGAGTGCTATCTCACTAAAATACCATGCCGAATGCACCGTGTCAGCGCAGCGTTCCGCCCGATCACAGTTATGCTGACAACGAGTAAACAACGTCTGCATATTTCCGTCTACATCCCAGACTTTGTAAATTAAAATCGATAATAAACATCTGTATAATAGTAAAGAATCAAAATTTACCTTTGCTTTAAAACATCAAAAAAATCTATATGAGTGACACCACAGTTCGACAAGTACATTATAGAGCCTACATAGACTCATTTTATATATGTTTATTGGGCGCCGAGATATCTCCTCCTTTCATGAAATGAGAAGAAACAGTCAGTTACTCCGCGGAATTAAATTATTAGTTTATTTCGGACTAGGACCCACGCAGTTAAAAAAACACACATATATATATATAGGATCTATGTGGCAATTTTATTAACATATCTTCAAATAATTGCACCTATCTTCAAATAATTGAGATTAATAGAGAGAGGAACAATTAGATTAAAAATAGGTTCAAATAGGACGAATTAAACATATATTCAATTGAATTACAAGTACCTATAATATCTTCAATTATTTGAAGATGGGTATAATTAATTGAATATATATAGATCTGTGTTAATTTGGCGTTCCATACATATTGAACATCTGCTACATTTATAAGGAAATGACAATCAGGTACAGTTTACAATATACATGATTAATACACTAGGCCCTGAATTCAAAATTTCAGTAAGGAAAAAAACTAGACCACAATAGCTAGCTAGGTAGTCCTTTGTGGAACTTATTTTTAGGTGCAAGACATTCTATTCAATGCAACTAAATACTCAAACAGATCACAGTTTGCGTTAGCCTATATATATACACCAGCGTAGCCTTGAATATAATTATGCCCTTATACATATATATTTGTTCGGTATGCAGAGTACGGGATTTTTTTTTTTAAATACTTTAGATTCAGATAGAATGTATTCACCAAAATGGAAGAATATGGGTTACTGTAGAATATTTATGTGACGTTAATATGTCACTCATGTCAGTATATTCAAAACCCGTATGTATATGTTTAAACACAAACAAAATGCTTTAATGATTACGTTATTTCTGATTACAGAAAAACAAGTAAATACATGTTATAGGCCTATACAAGCACACATTGTTTGTAAACTGTCGTCTCTGTCATCCTTATAGAAAAAGGCTAGGCCTGCGCTCGTGTGCAAACAACCAATCAAAATCCACCAAGCGTTGACTTCGCGGGAGTTGGTGGTTCTTATAAAAATAAGATCACAAAATAATACAAAACAAAAGTCTAACATGTGCTGCAACATATTTTGGTTCAAATATCAATAGACATTTTCCCTCGTGTCATCAATGAAAGTAGCAAGTTTCTGAAATCGATTAAGTTTTTTTTTTAAATCATTACTATCGAAATATGTGTAAATTGTCACAAATATGGAAGATTCGAAAATTGTATTTACTGGCCAAAATCTCGAGACGGATCAATGTGGAAAAGTTTACATTTCTACTTGTAGGGAAATTACAAACGGTTCAGCATGCGTGAAAGACTAATACAACGCTGTTGATAGGTAAAGCAATTATCATACACAGTGACAGAATCAGCATGATATGACTACTGTTCTCAAACCAAAACATAAGGTGGTTGCTGTGCGTCACTGACACGGAAACAGTCGAGTCGGCCTGCAATGGTTGCTGCAGGCCTACTGTATGGTTATCGCTTTGTAATGTAGTTGGGTTTTCTGTAAAAAGCTAGCTTGGCCGTTTCCACAATATGCCTTAAGCAGATTAACCACATGTATATTACACTATTGTGTCAACTTTCTCCACATTCAGTATTTTGGCTATAATCACAATAATAATCCGATGCACAATAAGGTTACCTTTGAGAAGAAAAAAAACATGTTTTACCCTAGATCGTTACTCGATATCCAGTGCGCTTTTTTAAATCGCAATCTGACGAGATAAACATTGTATACGTCTCTTATGTTAGTAAACGTGATGTGAAATCTTAGCATTCCGTTTATAAATGTGCACAAAAGTTGTCATAGGTCATAGTGGTTGAATAGCTCTTCTGAGCTAAAGAGTAAAGTTGCATTGTTACAAACACGACTCTAAATAAAAAATCTTGTATGTTGCAAAGTAAGTTTGAATTTTGGTACATTAACAGTGCCCCAATTTAGGCATTATCAGTGTCATAAGAACGATTGAGGACCCAGATTGTATTGGTGCTGACCGAGTCGCAGCTAGTTAATGTACACTTACCAGGTTTTTAGGAAACAAATGGAACATACTCTTAGCTTAAAACAGAAATTTCACAACAATTTGTCCTTGCAGGTAGGGCGAAGAATTGTACCTGCTGCCCCCATTGCATGATCATAAGAGGCATTTAAATTTGGGATCTTTTCTCTTTCTTAACAGCTTTCTTCTTCCTACTGCTCCCTTTGAGGAAGGCTTTGGGTTCTGTCCCCTGGTCAAGACATACCAGAGTCTGTAAAAATGGTAGTTTCTACTCCTGCTTAACACTCAGCAATTAAGGAGTGGGACGACTGGTTCGCCCGTTATCAGTACAATGTGACCAGTTGGGGTGTCCTGCTGGTTGTCTTCGGCAGTATGTTTCAGTGAGGTAGCACTATAAAGTCGGCATCAGTTCCGCGCTATCGCAAGGAGACAAACACAAACATATCGCAGCCTCCCAAAACACACACTCATGCATCTGGCACACAGGGGAGGCCGCCCTTAAATGACAATAGCTGTTGATAGGACGTTAAACAATACTGAACCAAACCAAATCACAAAAATACTTGAATTTCCCAATTCCAAATCCACAAGCCTCATTTCACATAATAAAAAACCCCACCAGTACGCATTATCATTGGGTAATAAATTGGAACACATGATCAACAATGAAGTAACACTGATGTGTGACTATATATAGTTAGCTGCATTCGAACATGGGGTATTGATGGTATTTTCAATATGGCATAAAGCAAAATGTAACTTTAAATTATATTTTGAAGGAGAGGGTTTTGATCCATAGCCATGGATCTACCCTGGTCGGACGGGGTGTACACCAGCGATGTCCCACGAGATTTTGAGGAAATGCGGATGAGGGAGGACAGGAAAGAACGAATTGGACAATACTGGAACCTGCTAGTGTAAGTGTTGTAGATAATATTGGCTACTTTGCTGGTCAAAATCAAAAAGTAGACTGAAGCCTTGATTAACACATCACTTATGAGACAAATCACACACTGGTAATTGTGGTCTATTGTTCATGTTTCACACCTATAGGGGTTCCCACAGGTAAATCTACCAGAAGGGCTGAGGTCGTCAATCAGGGTGGCGCTTCTAGTTACAAAAAAAGCTAGTCTAATGAGAGCAAGTCTAATTGAGAAAGAGAGAGGAGGTTTTCCTACTTGATGTTCCAGTCATATCTGTGTTATGCATCTCAATGTGTAACAGCCAAATGCATGTGTAACGATAAAATTGTGTGTGTAGCGGCCTAAAATTCATGCATAACAGTACTAGCATGGGGAGACAGACCTCTGTATAATTATGGAACATAAAATATATCGGAAAGCATTTGAAAGATTGTTTTGTTCAAGAGGTTGTCACTGCACTGTTCCAACCTTGTGGAAACAATATGCATACTCTATTACTTTAGATATTGAATTAGTTGTTTCTTCAATCATTTAATATTCAGTTTTTAAACCTGTTTTGAAACTACAGTGAATCCTGTTTATTGTGTTAATCTAATTGCTAGAGAAAAATTATCTAATAATTAGAAGATTATGATAAAGTAAGGTAATAGAGCCAATGTCAAGTGTATGTTTGTGGGTTGATCAGTGGGGCGCTTCGCTTTGAGTATGGCTACCAAAAGGTATGCAGGGGGATTACAGCATAAAGGCACATATAAAGAAAATGGATGATGACGAAGCCTCAACTTTTAAGGTGAAACTAGTCGGCTAAATAAACTTTAAAACCCACTTATTGGTGAAGCTTGGGTATGTTTTGAGTATATCCATTTTCTTTATATGTATAGAATATGGTAATACACAAGTAAACTAATGAAGGTCATATTTAGGTTGTCTGAACTGGAAGAGAGTTTCCCCATGGTCATTGCAAATTGATAAAGGTTCATTTATTATAATTGAAATATCAAATAAGAAAACAACATGTGTTCTTTGTTATTTATATCAAGGTATTATCATTGAGCACTTTATCGTTTCTATGATCTGCATGTAATATCTAGTTTCACTTTCTATATCGATAATTTTCTCGGAACTAATGTGAAAGTGCAGTCCTAGCTAATATGCTACGGTAAAGTAACAGACAACAGGTTGAAAGATATAAGATCTTAAGTTGTGTAACCTGTAGTATCTCATAAAATGTTACAATATTTTGCTCTTTGATGTCAATGACCATCCCATGAAAGTCATGCCTTGCAAGTCATGCGGAAAATAACAACTTGTAGAGAATCAGTAACTGGTTTATTTAAATGAAAGTTTTGTTTATAGTTGCGAATGATGTATGAAAAATAACTCATCGACATATATATTAAAACAAAGTAACATTAAACCAATTCAGGCACAGCACTGTCAGGTGAAACTGAAGAGGCCATATCTTTATGTTCTCTGATGATCATGATACATGATAACATTAACCTGAATTTCACAGGGAGGCTATTGTTTAAATAATTAAAAGAATTTCTTCCTTTTTCAAAAGGAATGTTCAAATTGACAGGGATTACCACAGAATGTGTCAACGTGAATACCTGGTATTCATAAAATGCTTGATGACCAAAACCTGGCACATCCTTAAATGACCATAGCTGTTAATAGGACGTAAAACACAAACAAACCAAGCTTGATTGTATGTGTAACATAATGTCCAACAGAAAAAAATGTGATTTTTATAAAAAGAAACAATATAAGAAGTACAAAAAAAGAATTAAAACCAAAAAAATGGATTTTCAGTTTAGCCATTCACTGGATTCTAATTTTAGTTTTAACAAAGTTGATTTTCTGCTTGAAAAGTGTTGTGATCTATTCATTCTATATGTTATAACACAGTTCAAGTTTGTTCCAAGTTTGTTCCAAGTTGGATCTGTGTTTAAACATGATGATTACAGTGTATGTACTATCATTTGTAGGTATATGAGAATTTGATAAGATGACTTGCCACAGGCAATCCTGTGACAGATGATCAGAGCCCTGAACAGTACTCCGTTGTTCACTGAACTCACAAATTTTCACTGATTTATCTGCATCAGTTGTAATTATTTCAATAAATTGCATTGCAGGATATTGTTCAAAATCAGGGTTTCTGTCACTACCTAGTACACTTCATGGTGATTGACAATTTGACACCCATATGATTATTGATACTTGAATGAAAAGTATTGATATTAATTAATTCTTTTTTTTTTTCATTTTTATTGCAGAGCTGACCAGGAACCAAAAGTTAGCAAGGTGTGTATTTCATCTCTAACAAATATTATGTTCGGATCCAATTCCTAAATTGATTAGTAAAAAAATGATACTCTTTCAAGTTTGAAACCAAGTAGATTTGTAGTGGTTTTAGTTTTTTGATGAAATATAATTTCTGTTTAACTTTTGGCTATATAGGTTGACAGTTCACAAAAAATAATATTGCTTAATAAACAAATACTTGTCGTACAAAATAAAATAGATTGTTATTGAGTCACATGTTGTTATTGAAATATTCATTCAGAGATGAAAACGTTTTCATATCTCTTTCCTTTCAGCAAACCCTGTTGATGTTGATGCAGGATTTAAAAGATGAAGGAAATACCGTCTTTAAAGAAAGTCATTATGACGTGGCATGGATGCATTATCGTAATGCATTATTTATTGGAAGGATATTAGAGACACGTTTTTACCATGATGTGGATAAGGAATTTGTATCCACTCTTTTCTCAAATAGAGCATTCTGCTGTCTTAAAAAGGTAAGCAAAAGTTAACATTATAAGACTTAAAAACAGTACTTGTGGTGCTTTATGATGCTAAGTAGGGGTATTCAAAATTTTATTTACTGATATTATGATGGCATCAACATTCTAACAACGCCATATTCACTAACACTTCAATGGTATCCCTTAATGTAAAACTGACAAATGTTAATTTGTAAACACTATATAACATAAAAAAAAAATGTGTATTTATACCTCACCTGCCACCAAGTACCTATGAACCATGCCTCAACCCTGGAGACTTATTTGCAATATTACTAATGGTTCAGGTGAGGGATACAGGATCTCACCTTTGGTCATTGGTGTAAGAACACACGCTTATCAAATTTAGATTTTGACTACCGTAAAAACCCATGTAATTTGCGCAATTTTTTTATTTTTTTTTTAAATTTTATACCCAAAGTGGGGGGGTGCGTAAAATACACAGGTATAGAAAATTTCAAGGTTTTTTTAGGTACACGGAACTCTTAAGACAAATGACGATCAACAAATTTATTTATGTCGAACATTAATAAAAGATACAGTTGATACATAATGTGTTGTTATCTGAGTTTATGTGAAAAGTACTATTAAATCTAGGTAACTGTTAACAAAGAAAGTTTAGCCAAATTCCTATGCCAGAGAATCGCCGATCAACTTACGACGTTACTTTTCGACATCTCGGTGCGTCATCATCAATTTAAGCTCCGTTCCATGTAAGTTCTGTTAGTTTTTTTTCAAATCGCCTATGCGTATAGCATGGTTTTTTTCTGGCTCACCCCATGTTGATCTCGCGTCTAACATTACGTAAACACGTGATTAATAATAACCTCGTGAATTATTTCAATATTTATTAAATGAAGCATCGTAAAAATAGTCTGCTTTAACTATTTTTTTCCTTGGAGTAGATTTGAAGAGGATGTATTGATTGTCCATGCTTCTAGTATAAACATTTTTTTTATAATCCCTTATCAGTCAAATCAGTCTGTAGTTATGACAATGCAGTAGGGCTTCGTAATTCACGCCACGTGTTGGTGAGAGAAAAAAACAACAACACGGTCCGTCGATCGCGACTGCAAATCATTTCAATTAGTAGAGCTATTGTTAACGGGTAATCGCAGATATAGTGTTAGCTATTTACTGCATTGTAATTTTTATTGACTGTAGTGTTGAGAAGTGTCAATAATTTACGCTGAAGCATGCAATCCTACCTGGCCTATTGTCCGGGACCAGACGATATCGGTGAAATCATGCCCTCCAGGTTAACTTACCTGTAAATGTCGCAAAACCAGCAGTCATGACCACAGATGACCAATTTTAATCATTTTACAGTAGGTAAAAATTGTGTGGCCAAAAAATATTGCCAAACCACGGACTTTGGTAGTATAATTCCGTGGCCAAACTGAACTGTGACATGACCTGGTTTGAAGTGACGATACCCAAGCCGCCATGATGAGCCCTTTTCACTGATCGTAATTATGATCAATAAAAGGTATCTAATTATGTCTTTCACCAGGAGATATGCACCAGCGGTTACTAAACATCGAATTACTTATTAATTGATATGTTTTTGTAAGCAAGTAAATGTTTTATGTAAAATATAGCTAAAATGAATTGATGTATGCCGATATGCGCACACGTGTGTGTCATGTGTGTGATCAGATAATTCCAAGAAAACATACAACAAAATACACATTTTACGTAGTTTCTTCTTGGTTTTAATATCTTTACATCAATGGAAAAAAAATCATAAGAAATATATTATTTTTTTTATTCAGATATCGATTTTCGGAGCATGAACATCAGTTTTTTTTCAGATTTTTTGGGTGCCTAAATATTAAGTAGAAGCTTTTTTCCCCGATTTTCAGCTTCAAAAAGTACCTGCGCAAATTACATGGGTTTTTACGGTATTTTTTGGCATGTTGGATTGCTTCACAAAGAGGAACATATGTGATATAGTTTGTGAGGTTATTAGATTGCCTGCTGTAATTGATTAATGGATGGTACATTGCAAAATACTACCAAATTTGACTGAAAAGATTGATACATGTCTTTCAGTAATTATTTGATATACAGTTGAACCCGCTGATTATGATATTTCTATTTGCCAGAGAAAAATATCATAATAACCGATATGTCATAATAACCGATCAAGCTGTTTTCGATCGTTTTAATGTTGTCTGAACCGGATGTGAGATGCCCTATATCAATCAGACAGATTGATGTAGAAACATGGAAAAATTTAAATACAAAAAGATCAATTAATAATTGAAATAATTTGTTCATTGTTATTTATATCAGCGTGTTGGAAAAATTCGAGAAGTTATCGTTTTGCCGTCGTAATGATCAGTATGTAAATTCTACTTTCACTTTCAAATAACTTCAAGCATGTTCCTATGAACTATCTTTATACTACATCCTTCACTTGTAGCTAACAATATCGTAATGTTAAAGTCAATAGGATGGAAGAGGTGATATAAATAGTCATGATTTACCTATTTTTCAACGAGAAGTTGTGTAACATTTTGTCCCGTAAGCGTAAACATATTTTACCGCTCTATGTCAATTACGTTCACGTGACAATCACATGTCTTGCAAGTCGTGCGGTGAAATCAACTTGCAAAGAAACAATAACAATTAAAAACACAAATTATTTCCTTTTTAACAATAATCAAATATTGTATTTAACGAAAATGGTGTAAATTGTAAATAAAGCAGCCTTCGTAAGTTGTTTGCGACAATACTGTAAATTTTTGATCGATTTCCAGCACCATGCTGTCAGTGCAGTATGTCCCGAATTTGACACATTTTCAACGGAAACACGGGGAAATCAACTTCTAATGCAATTAAGAAACTATTGCTTAAATGATTAAAAACACAGGTCTTCCTTCTGAAGTAATATTTTCATTGAAATCGGCATGATTTTCTCACATGACATGTCAAGGTAACTGTGAATATTTGTGAAAGGGCATGCTCGTTTTCTCATCGGAAATTGTGTTTGGTAGGCCTAATTATTTTAATTTGCATATACGGTCCTGCAGCAATTAACTGCACCAAATGTTTTGTTAAGACTTAAATGTATGACCAGCAAGCAATGGTCGATCTATTGTATTCCGCTGACTGGGGTGAAGCGAGGTGTGTAAAATTTACCTTGTGTGGCGAGATGATTACCTCGGGCGATGTACAGTTAGCCGGACCTATTGTGTAATGTCCAGGTGTTTCACACAGACAACTTACCTGAGTTTTTTACCTTATAAAATCCATTCACGGCAGAAAAAAATATAATAAGCAGGGTCCTACCTTTGACCATATCATAATAAACAATATTATTTTGCTTAGTTAAAGAAGGAAAAAATCGGTACATGGGAAAAATATCATAATAACAGATATCATAATAAGTGGGTTCCACTGTAGTAGAATTCAACATTTGGTCTTATTTTATCAGAACCTTAATATTAAGTTGATAAAAGGCAAATTGTTTGAATAGCAGTCCTTGTTTATCAAGTTAACACTTTTTAGGTGAATGTTGAACAGCATGTGAGATTGATCTTGATCTCAGAACAGTGGTTGTTATTCAATTTTATTACATGTATATATAAACATGCAACTTAAGTACGAGACGATATTAAACAAAAATGTGATTTTGTGGTAATGGTGATGTTTTCACCTGTGTTTTAGTTTATTGGTCATCTCCTTCATTAGCATTTTGAAAAGATAACGGGTCTGAAAGCATGGTTTTACACAGGTCATAAACACCATGCTTGAATTGAGGTTACACATTTCTGAAAAGAAATCCATGCATTGCAGAACCTTTTCTAAAACATAATAGAAGAGGTCAACAACAGTGTCTTAGATTCATAATGCACTAAAGCCAGATCAAGAATCAAACCCTGTACCTTCTAGCACTTGTCAAGGAATATTGAATAAAAGCTGTTAAAAAATAATTGTGCTGATATTGATTTCATAAAGTAGATAGTCTACTCAATAAAGATTTTGACCTGCAAAAGTGCTAGAATATTGTCTTGAAGTCTGTATGAACCATGCATAAATAAATAACGGCAGTGAATCTTTCATGTTATGCAGTATTATGTGATTGATCAGAATATCAGAAATGTTGTTGTCTGTATTTAAATAGTGACCTTGTATGAAAAGTTTTGATTCTGTTTTCAGGAAATGTACAACGAAGCTATCCATGATTGTGAAAAAGGCAAGTTTTATAGATATTTGTGGGGGGGACAGTAAACAGGTGTCAAATTCAACTTGTCTGATGCCCAGGGTAAGAGACTAGCTAGCTAATATGCTCAAAATATGAAATTAAAAACCCCTGATTAACAATTATTGATGATTTATTATTTATGGGTAAAGTTGAAGGTTTATAAATATATGCATGGCTGATTAATATAAAGGGAAGGGGGTTCTGTGATGTTATTCTATCCAATGCTTTGACATATATAATCATTGAAAAATAGAGAGGAACATAAAACTGTTTTTTTCTTTCTTTCTTTTAGCAATTGATATATTCAGCTCAAACATCAAAGCCTACTATAGACAGGTTCAAGCTCTAAAAGCCCAGAATAGGACTGCTGAGGCCCTCAAAATTGCACAACAGGGGCACTTAAAACAACCCAATGTAAGTTTGCTTGTTGTAACACATTTTCCAGTATTGTTACATATATAGGTATATATATATATGTTATGTGTAAAGGTTTTCATGTCTCAGCATATCATAAAGATAACACATATTTCATTTTGATCCGACAGCTTTCATTTAATATTCATGGAATATGAAAGTAATATTTTTTATAGCTATGATGGCAGAAATAAATATAGTGTTTTACTGTGTAAATTCCCTGTACTAGAGGGGAACCCCCTTTGTATTGTTAAGGGGAATTCCCATTAAAAAGCCTATGCCGGTATACATTTCATTTGCTGATTTTGCACTTGATACAGGTGTTGTTTGAACTTCACTTTTACATTTAATTACTTTGGTTTACCATTTAAAGATTAACCAGTTGTGAATGAAGACAATGTTTTGCTATTTCAGATCTTTAGAGAGTTAATTGAAGAGCTTTCTGATGCCTTGGAAATTGAAACCACCTCTAAACAGAAGATATCCACAGCTAATGTGTCTGTACGACATGCTCAGGCAGAGGCTGCAAACCAACCTGATGCTGATTGGTTAACTGGAACAAACATTCATCTAAATGAGGTAAGTGGACAGGTTGTTTTTTTTAACACACACACACACGCACACATATATTTTTTTTAATAATAATACATGACTATCATATTATATTTAGGCCAAATAAAATTAATTACTTGGTTCTCAGGCCAATTTTTTTCAAAATAGTTGCGGCAGGGCGGTAATTTTTTTTTCCATTTTACATGGCAAAAACGAGACGAGGGCGATTTTTTTTTTATTGTGTAGTTTGTAAAACGTTCATTGTGGGCATTACCTTGTCTTTTTATAGTTGTGTAGAGACCCATCATAGAGCAAGCCTCCGAAAGTCCCCCCACGATGTTCCAGACGAGAATCACTAACCCCCCATTCCTTATTTGTACCGAAATGAGCGCCATTTGTACACAAGATTAATAAGTCATAATCATTTTAACGCTTCCCTGTATCTCAATCCTTACCTTTATTCAAACGTTTTCCGGAGTTGGGTGACTAACGAGTGAAAACGACATGCGGACCAATTTTCCAGATTTTTTTAAAGATGGCGGCTGGCACATTTACAATTTCTTTTTTTTTATTACTTTTACGACAAAATCGGCAATGCGCACGGTGCCATGAAATGTGGGCGGGCCTGAGAACCAAGTAATCTTTTTTTTTTGGCCTTAGTTCTGGTTCTTGATAAAAAAATGTTTGGCCTTGTTTTTAAAGAGTTCCTGTTCAGTTGAGCACCTGATTAGCATTTAATTATGTGAACTACCTCTATGTATGTACCCTTGATATAATATTAATCGTTACACATACAAAAGTCATATGTGATTAAATTATTACAAATACAGAACTATGTGATAAAATGTAAATTCATTTTCACCACCTTTTTCAATATTGTGATATATTGTTATGATCTATCCAATATTGTGGCATTCTGTACACTCCTCTAGCTGATAACCTTTTCATTTAATTAGCTGATAATGTTTTCATTTAATTAAATGAAAATTTGATAAATGTTATTGTTTAACTTACATATTAAGTACAAAAGTATTTTTTCCCGAAATATTTGCTTTATCGATGTCTTCCTTTATCAATACATGTTTCAAAAAACAAAACTTTTCCTTCAGAATTCATCAAAACCTAAAGTCATGAAGAAAAGCTCTGGTAAGTCCTTAAAGCTTGGCCAGGTGAACTGATGCATGGGGCCGCCTCTGTTTGTCCATTCCTTTTTCTTTAGAATACATGTAAATAAAAGCTGAGTGTATTCTTACTACAGTAAACCTTCTGTCAGTTTGAATAGGCGGATAATTTGAACTTGCTTACACACGTTTCGGATTGTTCGAACACACAATTTGAGTACTGAAATTACGTAATTATTGATCGAGGTTGGCTATCGGCAATGCAATAATAGCCTCGCGAAACTCGCTTAAACTAATCCATTTTCGCATTGACCAAGTTTAACTACTGAAAAACGGGTAGTAATCATGAAGTGGAATCTTTGTTGTCATTGATGTCGTACAACTGTACATAAATATGCCACATGCTACCTGTGATTGAGTTTCTTTCTTGTAAACATGTGCACACATCAGTCAAATATATTTAGGCTCCGGCCATACAGTACACCGAGCATGAAATGTTATCGTCACATCGCTAACAGACACATGTGTATTGTCATGATATTATTGTGATAGCAATTTGATTATATAACTGTGACCTGGCCAGCGATCCCTGATTTATTACTTAATTGATGTATATATATATAACACCTTTACATGTGCCAAAACAAAAATATTTGACCAGGTGGTCGATCGAACTATTAATCCGTAATTGCAGTTTTGATCCATCCTCCGCATTCTAATACATTACAATTGAGCTTCCATCAATACTCGAGAAACCATCTACAGCTTTGTGGCCTACATTCTTGTCTCTGCTTTGTGATTGAACTTGACAATTAACTATTAATATATAAATAAGGATAAGAAAGATATATGTACCATTATTCATCCAGATTTGCAGATATATCGTAATAGGCCGTCGCTGTTCCATATCAACGACTTGACAGTTTGCCGTGATTTTTGCCGATGTAGACTCGGATTGTTCTAGCTACTCTTTAATTTAGCGGCTATAATTTCGTGTAATTCGAACAGGTTAGAAACTATTTATTTAGTTTTGTTCGATCTGACCAGAGGTTTACCATACACCTGATGAGGAACATTGTGTGGCATAGGGGACTCATCTTGTTTGCCACTTGGGAACAGGTGGGCAGAGACCAATAGTGGAAAAGAAGGCTTAGTGTTTATCATTATGGCCACAAATAAACAATAACATTCATGTAAACATGATTTGCATTGGGGTCTGTTCTCGCCCTTCGGGACTTGGTCCCTCTGTGATAACATGGAAATGGTTGAGATCCCTACCCCATAACAATATATATATATATATACAAATGCTGAATATTATAATCATGCTTCTAGGATTAGCCGCTGAGTGCAGTCAAAGTCCTGGAGACTAGGTCCCTTGGTCATAACCATATTTTAAGTTGCTGGGTATGAAGCAATGGTACCAGAATTTGCACTGGTCTGGCCCCATAGATAGTGACCTACAAAACAAAACTCCTAAGACAATGGAAAACAGATGTTGTATAAAAGAAAAATGAGTTTCCTTTGGGTTGATCAAGAACAAAGCTTGAAATGAAAACCTTGATACTCCTGGCCATTTGGTCATATTTTTAAAACCAATTCAAATTTGCTTTGAAGCATCCTTTGGAACTTAGATTCAGATGTTATTTGAAGGAAGGGTGTTGTTCCAATTGGTACTGAGAGACAGAGCTGTAGTTGATGAACTAATTTCATTATTACCTATATGAAAATATATTGAATATTTGCAATATCACTTATATTGCCATGCTTGCTGTAAACATCCAGGTGAATGGTACAGATTTTCAAGACCTCTTGTTTGTAATTTGATATTCTAGACATAGGAGCTTATTTTTTGTGACATATACTCTTTTTGTAAAACTGCAAATAGTTTCAGATACCTATTTTAATTTATTAACAGCATTATCATTTCTTCAAGATAATATCATTTTCATTAGTATTTGTGGAAAGAAATCAATGCCGATTTGGAACAAGTGCATTTTCAAGTTGAATACTCCAATTTCTGTTCATACCACTACAGTACATTTCACCTAATATCACGTTGCTTAATGTCACTTTTCTGTTATTATCATGTTTTCTTGATGCACCGTTTTTCCTGCTATATAATCTATGTAATTCAAATCTTATATTATCACTTGTTTTGATATCATTTTCGCTTTATATCACTTTATTTTGGCCACTGTCACAAAAAAATACTTGGTTAATTAGTATAAGAATCATTTATTTATGTCCCCGGGATCTGGTGTCACACCTGGACACGTTATGTAAACAACATCTTTGAAAACCAATTCCTTTTGATGCCACATGACTTTATTTAACGTATTTGCTAATTACATTGTTCGGGATTGTTTACTTGACAGTTGCAATTATAATACAAGGTAATGTTCTAATATCATTTCTCTTTTCATTCCGTGATTATTCTTTAAACTGTAATTTAGAAATAATTTCTGAGTAATAATAGGATTTCTTTTGAAGTTTTCTTATATAGGAATATTCCAGATAGATTCATACAGTTACACATTAATGTTTTGTTTTCTACCCCCAAAACAATTATAAAGGAACTCATTCCTATCAGTACTTAAATACAGATATGAATATTTCACCTGATTTAGGCAAACCAAAGCAGCAGAAGAAGAGTAAACAAGTGATGAACTTGCCAAGGAATGGTCACACCTTTTCCGAGTCAGAAAGTGAGGAGGGAAGCAGTAGCGATAGCAGTAGTCTTAATGAAGATGAAAAATTTGCTAGTAACTTTCTCAACGTACGAAAAACCAACCTGTCTGCTCCAGGCCCCAACATCATTAAGTTGCCAACACCTTCTGCCTCTTCCACCAAACAGGTTTGTAAATTAGACTGTAAAAGTATATATTTGTAGAAATTGATTTATTGAATGACATTATTTTGAAGTCGAAATTGGCACATTAGCCCTTCCTAATTAATATTGTAAAATTATTTTGTTTATGCTTTTCAGGAATCTTCTCCACGTGGAAAGCAGAGTGACAGTATGGGACTAGATAGCTTTTCTGCTGGTATGTTCAGTGTTAATATGTTTGGTGCACAAACATGTAAATAGGATGTTGAGGCCTGCATTATTTGCTAGATTTAAAATAACTGTATATGGGAAAATTGTCGCTGCAGTTTAATTTCTGCCTCTCTCTCTCTCTCCCCATACTGAACATTTTGATGAACAACACAATTAAATAAACATATAATTATTGTCTAATTAAAATTTTGATATTTTCTTGATAAATGGGATATGCCTTTTGGTGTACTGGAAATATAAGATATTCACTATATGTTACTGTTGAAAGTTGGTACACGATGCCAAATGTGGAATGTGAAATGCCAATTGTCAATACCAAATGCATAATGCTAGTTACAAAATGTGTTATATGTCCTGTTCATCACATTTGTGTGTGCAGCTGCATTCATATTTCTTTGGCATAAAAAGTGCAAAATGGAATGTAGATCCTGTGATGCATTGGCAATTGGTATTACACATTTGGCATTTAACAATTAGTAAATGGCATTGAGTACTGGTCTTCTACAGTTACTTTCAAAATGATCTGTGGTGTCTAATCAAACATTGAAAATATGTCATATTTTTCAGGAAAGTCCAAGGCACAAAAGACATCCTCAGCATACAGTAGTTCCTCCTCTGCGAGTCCCGTGCACAAACAGCCCAAGAAGACTGTCCCCACACTAAGTGATGAGGACTTGAATGCCTTATATTTCCCTCTAGAGAACTATGATTTCAAATTGGCATGTGCCCAGTGCTTTGTCAAAACTGGGGAAGGTGTGCAAGGCTATGCTTTCTATGATTTCGAGCACATGTGTGATAAAGACTATCTGGTAGTGAAGTTGAAGGCAACCGTGAACACCAAAAACATAACATGGATTAGAATACGACCTCGACCAGAACACAAAACTCCAAAGATGATCTACCACTACAAGAAGTGTTTGCAGTTCGCACAGAATCAACCATGTAGGGTTGGGGATGACCGATGTACTTTTCCACACACAAAGGCGGAGATGGACCTCTGGGAGATGGACAAAGATGAACAGTTCAGCATATTTGGTTTCATTGAGAAACTACACGAGCTGAAAATTGGTAAGCTGGTATATAAATTGAACAAATACACTGCTTGTAATGCTTGCACTTCAGATTTCAATACAATGTATGGCATATACAGCCTTTTCAAAGGTTGGGTACCCAGCAAGTGATTATTTTGGATACACAAAGGAATTTGGGAGAAATCTGTTATCTGAAATTAGAGTTTCCTTGCAACCTTCAAGCTAATTATTGATACAAAAATGAGGTCAACTCAACTACTGGTGATATTGCCTAATTACTTCTATTTGTGAGATTAAAGATGTGTATGATCTTACATGAGTTTCCATTTCATATGAGATTTATAAAGCAAAAAGTCTAGGATTCATTCATTTCCTTTAAACAAGACTCTGGGGACAGTTATTATTGAAGGAGAAAATGCTTTTACAGGTCTTCAAAAGCCATCAACTTGGCCCAATATCTCTGTCTCCATTGTGATGTTGTAATTCTGAAGTGTGTGAAATATTTTGATAAGCATTTGACTGTCAAAATTGGTCATAACACATAATTCATACATAAAAGCATGACAGGCATATTTACAGAACAACACAATAATCATTTGATAGAGCTATTTATTTCATCTGAAATACATAATTGTGTAATAAAGGGAAAATACCCGGTAATTGTAATATCATGATTGGTGGTTCTTGTAGAGTCCAGCTGGGATTTAGAGACGTTTATACAAAACAACATCGCTCAGAATGAACCACCACCTGCCCGGTCACCTGGAATTCCCGGACTCAACTTTAAATCAAAGAAATCCAAATCTGCTATCCAAGCTGCTAAACAACAAGAGGCACTCTTGAAACAGCAAGTTGTGAAAGCTCCCTACAGTGAACCTGTTGAAGCTCCAATTGTCAAGATGCCACAGCTCAAACCTAAATTTGTGTCTACTGAGCCACCAGTCAGAGGTACAACAGTGCACACACATACTACCCAGGAAGAGTCTTTGTATCATCCAAGTGGACCCTTGCTCCCTAAACCACAACATTCCTCTGTTCGTTATACACCTCCCCAGCATCTGGTGTCCTCCCCTGTGAGGCCAAACCTGAGTCGACCACCACCTCCGATTGGAGGAAACCCAGGAGGTTTTACACCAGCAATGAATGTCAATACAAGATTCCCTCCTCCAAGGATGCCTGGTCCACAGCAAACTTCCAATAAATATCAGGCCCAATATAACAGAATGCAGGCACCCCAAGGTAAGCACTATCCAGGGTTGTAATATCATTCGGTAAAAGATTACAGCAATAGTACTGTTAACCATTCTAGACTCTTTAAAAAGTTTGACTCTTAAATATTTTCAATCGGAAATTCCTCAACAATAAAGATAATTTATAAACAACTTCAACCCATGTCTGGATCCACCTATGTAATTGTTAAAGGAGTCCATGTGATTATATAAAAAATATATGCAAATATGACCTTTCTAATAGTAATTTAATAAAGTGAAATTCAATTAATTGATGCGAGATTGAAAGAATTTTTGGCAAAAACTGCTGATGAAGAAATGTATTTAAACATGTTATACTGTACACAAGTTCTGTAGAAAAAAAGTATGGTGACCCACTAGAAAATGGATTTCATAATAGTAGTTGAATATTAATGGCTTAATCGTGTAGGGAAGATTTTGATGATGGTAATGAAAACTATTTGGAAATCGAGATAGGATTCATGTGATTTTGGTATATTTATCTTTAACAGGTGGCTATTTTGGACAAGAAACGCCACATTATCACCCAGGTCCTACCAACCAAGTACAGATGAGACCAAACCTGATGCGGGTACCTGCTCCGAAACCTGCCTCCGAGATGCCTTTACAAGTAATGGAAACTAACCAACCTGTCACTATTCTCAAGTTTCCATTGAGAGACACTCACGATTTTAAACTGGTGTGCAGAGTGTGCTTTGTGTATGGAAATCAACCTGGATACTACATGCCCCAGCAGAAAACTCACAAATGTGAGGAGAACGTGCTGGCTGTGAAACTAAAGGGACTACCAGTACCATGGCATTGTATCCGTGAGCGTAAAAACCATCGTGAGTTTCCTGGTAAATACATATTGTGTAACAGTGTGTACTACAGAAACCCTGGCCTTTGTAGGTATGGAGAAGAGTCGTGTTCTTTTGCCCACAATGAGGAAGAACAGACATTATGGACACAAGAAAAGGATGAAAAGTTCAACATCACAGAATTCATCATGCAGAATCGATCAGTCAGTGTGGCCAAGGGTTTTACACTGGCAGATGTTTTGAAAAAACATGGAGGCACTTTTGATTTCATATGCAAGTTCTGCTATTGCAATACACCTCGCGTAATTTCAAACAAAGGATCTGGTGATTTTTGCAAGAGTCGAGGAAAGCACCAGTGGTCCGAGTACAAGATCATGGCTCACTTCGCAAATGATGGATCAATCAAACTCATCAATCAGAGAGGATTTCTACATAAAACTGCCTTTTTCAAAATTTGCAAGTGGCTGCAGTTCTGTAGAAACCAAATCAATGCAGAGTGTCGGTTTGCGCACAGCTTGGTGGAAAGAGATATATGGATGTTGGAAAGGGATTCTGGAATGTCCAAGGAGGAGATTGTGCAGGAACTCAGCAAAGCTGTTGCTCTTCCTATCAGTCAGCAGCATGAGGCATCACCTCCTGTAGATCAGACAGTTATTGTGCACTCAGCATCTGCAGGGCTCACACCTACTACATTGCAAGCACAGAAACCTCCTTCTCATGTGGTTGCATACACTAAACAAAATCTAGACCTGGAGGACAATGAGTGTCCATATTTAGTCACTGCTATATGTCAAACCTGCTGGAAAAATGGTAAAAAGAGTGTTCAGGATGGTGACAAGGATCGATGTGTGAAATCCCACTCCAATTGGAAAACAAACAGGATCTTCCTACTTGCTACCGCTAACAGGGAAATCAGACCATTGCCGAGAAAGATCCCCGGAGGGTTCGCTTTTATCATTTGCAAATTTATCAGGAACAAGACTAAGTGTGGATATACAGCAGGCGGGTACTGCCAGTTTGCCCACAGTCAGGAGGAGCTGGAGGTCTGGCAGTGGATGTGCACACACAGTTGTAAGTAATATTGTATTACAAGACAACAAATAAGAAAGCATGGTGACCATATCAAATGTTTTGATAAAATTTACCTGTTGATGATTAAGTTTTAGGAGAATCAGTTGGTATATTTGTGAAAAAACTGTTCAGTGGGTTTATTTTTTAATAAAAATACTAATTTTGAGCCGGTTCTCTCTAAGAAAAATATTCAAATTTTCACATTAAATACAAAACTGATGAAACATATTCTATCTTTTGATGTTATGTAGTGAGCACCCTAGAACAGTTGCATGAAGCCAGCAAGGAGAGTCAGAAGAAGCGTCAGTCCTTAGTGAAATCCAAGATCACAAGTGGAGAATCTGTGATTGCTGTTAAGAATGTGATCACTCTACCCATCCAGTCTAACTTCAACCCCTTGTACTGTGCCTACTGTGGCAAGCAATGTAACAGTCAGAAACAGTGGGATGAACACTGTGCCTCGGAACGACATAACTTCAATGTCAGTTCTGACAAGGAGCACCAATGGAACTACAGACAGCCACCCTGGGGTATGCCTGGAAGCAACTATGAGCTATGTGCCAAGTAAGTGCATCCATTGTTCCTATAGTCGTCTTCAGCAACTGATATCAAAATCATGTGTCTGTTCTATTTGATGGATAAGTTAATCTTTCAATATGTTATTCATGTGTTGATATTTGTTCTGGTGTAGTAACAGCTAAATGTCATACTAGTGTTGATATTTGTTCTTGTGTAATAACAATTAAATGTCATACTAGTGTTGATATTTGTTCTTGTGTAATAACAATTAAATGTCATACTAGTGTTGATATTTGTTCTTGTGTAGTAACAGCTAAATGTCATACTAATGTTGACATTTGTTCTTGTGTAGTAACAGCTAAATGCCATACATTGTACTAGTGTTGATATTTGTTTTTATGTACCCAGTAGTGATCATGTTTGGTTTTACTTGCAGAAATGAAAATGGAGGTAAATGTACTTACTCTAATGTTCCGGACATGTACAACATGTGTACACATGCTCACTCAGTTGAGGAGCTGGAAGAATGGAAGGAGAGACATGAATGGCGACTAATGAAAAGAGAGATGGCCCGCCAGGAAATGGTCTTTTCCTATATGGACCAACTACTGGAAAAATATGAACAGGCAGAATCAGCTATAGGAGTTGTGAGTGTTGTTGATATCAGCTGTATTTCAATTCTATAATATTTCGTGATAGAAGTTTTTCATATTATTAGCTCTTCAGTAAAGACATATATTGTAAAGACATTTTGACGCCCTGCCATATTATAGGGGGACTTAAAGCTTGGTGTAGTATTACCCAAGTCTGTCTTCTCTCAATTTAGTGTCATCACTCGAGCAACTTCATTTCATAACAAATTTTGATTAAGTTTTAAACAAGGGTCAAGCATTGGATGGGAATATGTTCAATGTTGGTTTTATTTCAGGAGCCAAAGGTCAAGGCAAAGGTCACTGTTTCTTTTTTTAGAAATTTGTCCAACAATGACTCTAAATTCATGAGAATGGAGGAGGGGCTGGGGGGAGCATTCATGTCTTGTTGACATATTTAGGGTTACAGACAAAAGTTGGAACAGTATAGACTTATTTATTATCCTTAACATCAAGGTCACTCTTTATCATATTTGATGCTCGAGAGCTATATTGAAAATAATTTTATCATAGAAGTCTGAAGATAATTTGTAATAATAATTTGAATGGTTTATTTGTTTTCAGATATCAGAAGAACAAGATGGTGTATCCGTTACCTGTAACCAGGACCTAGTGAGATATGAAGAGAACAAAAATGTAACATTTTTGTGGACTTTCAACATCAAATCTCAGGTAATAACCATGATGTAATTGAAATACATTTGATGACATCTTGCACCTATGTAGTTGGAAGTCGGTGATATATTTACGCACAATTGACAACTCATTCAACTTTTTGATTCATTCACAAGTGAATTCCCAAATTGATGGAATGAAAAATCTTCAAATGTTGTCATATCAAACAAGTATCTAGTCAAGAATTGTTGTAGTAAATTTGTTTTTGATTTGCAAAAAATGTAAAATTATTTGCTCTTACGGGGTCAAGCCAGTGTCTTTTAGCACACCAGGATTAGGACATCAGACGTTAGAGACCTTATAGATGACTGGAGTTGATATTGACAAAAATGGAATAAAAGGATTTAATTATTATACTTTGATTACAGCTCTCTCTTCAAAAGTTGGCCCTTCTGTATAACAAGGACCGTCTACACTTCTCCTTGGTGGGTAAAGGACTGGTTGGGCACTGTCAGATAGCCCAGGGCACTAGCTGTGAGGAAGTAGACCTTGGCGAGCCATGCTACAGAGTTCAGGTCAAGTTCACAGCCGCCATGTTTGGATCCTTCAGCCAGTGGGTCATCTTTGACTTTGGAAGAGAGCCAGTTTTGGTCAGGAAGCTCTCTGTAGAAGTTGGAACAATGCATATGCACGAGAAGATCAGGACCCTACGACAGCAACTACAGTTTGACCGCTGGACAAGCGAAAACAGGGTTATTGTCAAGAATGAAGCAGAATGGGTAGATGACCTTGAGAAGATGCTGACAAACAAATACAAAGCTCCATCTGCGGCTGACAGTGTAGTCACACAGAACAGTCTAGTGACGGAACTCAATCGCAACAACTACATACACAAGATGAAGAAACTTCTAGAGCTGGAAGAGATTACCAGACATCAGGTCATAGCTGAGTATGTGTTAACATATTATTTCTGGGTATGTGTTGACAAATCATAGCTGTGCGTGTGTTGACATATCACATATGGGGCACACAGCTGGGCAGGTGTTGATGTATTAAATTTGTGCTGGATTCTAGTGACTACCATAATGGTTCAGTGGGAACTCAAAACAGAAAGCTCTTTGATAATCCAAATATGTAGTGGGGTCTGTCAACACATAATATTTCTACTACTAAATTAGTATAACTTGAATATCATTTGCCCATAATCCTTGGCAATGTGAGCATGCCAACAATGGAATTAATGTCGCATCAATGATGGCATGCATAATCATAGCGGCTTTGTTCCAGTATAGAGAGTAGTTCCTGTGTATCCCACGATTCCTGGTATAGGGGTTCCACCCAAGGAATTGAATTAATCATTTGCTTAAGAATTGTAGACAAGAACCCAACCATGTATTGAAAAATGTTTTGGGACATGGATATTTCAATTTAGATAATTTCATTTTTACCGGAATAGCTACAAATTGCACTTCAATACTAGATATCTTCCACTGGTTTTCAATTTAATGGAAATGTAAGGGTCGAATCTGGTTATGTTTGAGTTTGTGGAGTGATTAAATGTGTTGATCTGAAGACAAATTCAACATGAAGTGCATATGTTCAAATGTAATTGTACTTTAAAAAAGAATAGTGTCTATATAATTAAGTGTTAATGCTAAAAAAGAATAGTGTCTATATAATTAAGTGTTAATGCTAAAAAAGAACAGTGTCTATATAATTGAGTGTTAATGCTATCATTTTACTTAAATGGCTATTCACATCTTCAGGTACAATCTGGAGGTGACAATAGACTGTGTGGAAGGTATTCAGGAGGAGACTTACCTGTATGCCCATCAAGGAGAGCTGTTTGCTAAGGTACCACTGAATGATTACCTGACAGAAGACACTGATGCTGGCAAACTGATCTTGAGCAGTGTTCGTAAAATCTTGATTGCACCAACGAACAATAGTAGCAAAACAGTTTTTGAGGCTGCAATTGTAAGAAAAGACAATTTTGATTATGATGGTAGAGGGAAAGAGTACATTTACCTGTGTTTGTCCAAAGCATGTGTGAGTCAGCTGAACCTGAAAAAGAACATGAGCATAGAGGTGGAGATTCAGTTTCAGATGGACCGCATGCACTTTTGTATGATGCATTTTGCCATTGACAAGCTGCAAACCACTGATGTGGTCTTCCCAGATATCTCCAAGTACCGACCACTGTGGAGTGAGAGGCACGACCTCAAAGTCAGGTAACCAGTAAAACAAATTATCCCATGTAATTGGGGATAAATTAAATAGAAGTTTTGAACTGTCTTGTGAATTTTTGGCTCTGACACATGAAAATCAAGTAAGTTATGTACCTGTATTAAAAGTGGAAAATAAGGAACTCATAATAAGATTTGTTGTAAATTGGGACATAAAAAGGAACGTAAGAGTGTCATTTGCGTAAATTATAAAATAACTATGTATTTCTTTCGCAGATGTCCTGTTGCATACATTCTTTTACAATTTCAGCTCGGACATCTTGAATGTTGAACAGATCCAGGCTGTGAAGCACATTGTCGCTCAAAGATCTGGCTACACCCCTCCATTTGTCATGTATGGTCCGTTTGGTACAGGGAAGACGGAAACCATTGCACAGGCTGCAATGGTGCTGTTGAAGGAAAAGCCTTCAGCCAGGATCCTCATATGTGCCCAGTCAAACAGGTGAATACTTCATAAAGAGAACATTAATACCATCATTAAAGTACACAAAACATATGGTAAAAAACAGTTGTGTTTTTAGATGTGAAATACCATAATTATATGCCTTAACAATAAATACTTTATCAGATTACATGCATTCACATACCGCCTCTAAGTCCTGTTTGATCCTGATCCATTGTTAGGTCTTTTAGTTCACCCTTTCAATTGACATTCAACTATTTCAGGAGTCAAATAACATTTTCCCTGAAATTCAGAGTGCCAAAACACCTATCAAATAGACAAGTTCTTTCAGGCAAAAGACTCAAAGCTCATTATGCAGAGTAAAAAGCATATTTGCACCCACTTTGACAATATTTAAGGGTCACAGCAACACAGGAGAAGAGTCGGAGATGGTGACAGTGATTGAGTGAAAAATGAATTATGAAATGACATTTTGTTTGATTAGGCCAAATAAAATTAATTACTTGGTTCTCAGGCCAATTATTTTCAAAATAGAGTGGCAGGGTGGTATTTTTAAGCCGCTCTTGGCGAGAGCCAAGCGGCTTATTAATTCTGTCCAGAGAACGAAATGACGGACCCACTTCCGTTCGGGGTGCGTGCGCATAATTCAGTATTGCATGCTTCCGCTATATAGTTTCGTTATCGTAAATAGAAAGTAGAATCTCTGACACTCACCTGTGGGTTACATGAAGTCTTCTGATACTCTTCTCCAAATAATAATCCATACATTAAATAATTGCTGAAAACAAAATGTTTATCTCCGGTGCATTCTACGAGTGTTGTGGTGGTGAAATACGTGCACTAGGTTTGAGCGTTTTAACAAGGATTGCGGTCTGGGGAGTGTTACGCGTGTGAAACACATATGATTCGAGAAAGCACATGTGAAGACTGTCAAGCATTGACGCTGTCTGTAGAAGGAAGAAGTAAATATATAAACTTATAAACCGTATGAGTGATGAAGTATAAACTCTATTTTGATGTTTGAAACGGTAACGTATATATGCCATATCGTGCTTAGGTTGATAACGGTAGACTAATGGCTCCGAGACGAGACGATATGTGAACTGTGTATGCTTATCAAACATTTTTGTAACACAGCATGCTATTTCTGGTGTATTTATTTATGAAAGTGTAACAATTTAAGAACATGACACAACTGCCGCTGCTGTTTGACAAGAATTCGCGCCGTGTCAAAATAGTATCCAATTGGGTGTAAGGGAAATAACTCTTACGTTGGTAAAGTCGCATTGGGAAATATAATTCAAATATATTCCAAGAACATTTGTGAGATTTTGTATATTCAATGACGGTAAATATAGTCGCTACAAATATTAATAATTTTCACTAATATGAATAAAAAATAAATAAAAATAAAAGGAGTACAATGTCTCTTTTCTCCATGCATGTTTTCCCACTACTGTTAATTATCCTTCATTTCACAAGCAAAAAATGCACCTATTCTTTATTATCCATTCACCGATTGCCATTCTGCACGTAAACGCTCATGTCACATCATTGGAGGATGCTAATTAATGAAAATTACAACAATGCGTCACACTTAAAGAGGGTGAAAAAAGAGGAGAGGGAGAAATGTTTTGAAGGCATCATTTAAGAGGTGATTGATTTTGAAAATCCTAAACGCAACATCATCAGATGACCTGATTTTCAATTTCACTGAAGCAATTAAATTTAAAGTGGTGAGCGGCTGTAATGTCATACTGACATAATTCTAGGTTTTTTTCATTTTACATGGCAAAAACGAGACGAGGGCGATTTTTTTTTTGTGTAGTTTGTAAAACGTTCATTGTGGGCATTACCTTGGCTTTTTATAGTTGTGTAGAGACCCGTCATAGAGCAAACCTCCGAAAATCCCCCCACGATGTTCCAGATGAGAATCACGAACCCCCCATTCCTTATTTGTACCGAAATGAGCTCCATTTGTACACAAGACTAATAAGTAATAAACATTTTAACGCTTGCCTGTATCTCAATCCTTATCTTTATTTAAACGTTTTTGGGACTTGGGTGACTAACGAATAAAAACGACATGCGGACCAATTTTCTGGATTTTTTTAAAGATGGCGGCTGGCGCATTCACGTTTTTTTTTTTATTACTTTCACGATAAAATCGGCAATGCGCCCGGTGCCATGAAATGTGGCGGGCCTGAGAACCAAGTTATCAAATTTTTTTGGCCTTACATTTCTTATAAAATCACATACCAAAAAAAACGTTGGTTGAAAGGTGCTGCTTGGAATTAAGCCAATTTGCAGTAATTGGTGAGGTATAAGTAGAAGTATAAAGATGATAAAAAGATTATCACATAAGTGTTTTCCTATGTTGTCGCTTAAACAATTTTATCATCGCTCACACATCGATAAAATATTGTCCTGCTTTGATGACCTCTATATTTGATCCACAAGCTCTCAATGAGAACAGTGTTCTCATGATAAACCAAGTATGTACCTGGTATGGAACAGAAATAAAAGTGGGAGTGAACCTCTAAAAAATCAACAGGGTACTTATATGAAGTTGATGCTATTATCAGTTACATGTACAACCCTAGTTACATGGGCAAGGGTGGTACATTAAATATTGTTCAAAATGGTCTTGATAAATGTCATCTTTAAGTAGTCAAAATTTGTTGCAGCCAATAGTGGGTATAATCAGTATGAATAAGGATGCAGTTCAATGGGTTCAAAATTTTGATATTATCTGTAAATGTCGTATAGTATAAAAAATATATATTGTTCTTTCATGTAGTGCTGCTGATTTGTACATCCTGAAACACCTGGGACCATTCCTCAAGAAACACCCCAAAATAAAGCTGCGGAGAATTTACTTCAAAGAAAGGCGAATCAATACGGTCAACAGAGACGTGAAACCCTTCTGTTTGCTCACACCCGATTGTAGTGCCTTTGGATTGCCGACTCGCGAGGACATTGAGCATCATCAGATTGTCATTGTTACGCTAGCCACATCACTGGTGCTTACTAACCTGGGTCTTCATGGTCACTTTTCCCATGTGTTCATTGATGAGGCAGCCCAGGCATTAGAGGTGGAAACCATCATGCCACTATCTCTCTGTAATGAAAAAACATGTGTAGTGTTAGCTGGTGACCACAAACAGATCAGTCCGAAAGTGTATAGCCAAGAAGCCCGTAACCAGAAATTTGACATTTCTTTGTTAGAAAGGCTCTATCAGTACTATGACTCTCACTCAGCCAAGATTGACCAGGCCAGCCCTGTCAACATACTCCTTAACATCAACTACCGCAGCAAACATGAGATTCTCCGATTCATCTCTGCCATATTCTATGGAGGTCCAGACAAGCTTGAGTCCCAGGCTAAGCTTCCGTCAGTGTTAACCATCACACCACTGACATTCTATGCTGTACAGGGAAGGGAGACGCAGGACACTGACAGCACATCATTCTACAATCTCTCAGAGATCCAGGAGATTGTGGAAAGGGTAGAGGATCTATTCCATAACTGGCCCCATGAGTGGGGGCCTCGCCAGGCTAAGGAGATAGGAGTTGTCACACCATATTATGATCAGGTAGCTGTATACAATATAGTTATAAAGTTAATCTTACAGGTAAAGTTATAATCTAGTACTTGTACTTGGGTACAGCTCTATCAACATAAAACTTATCTCAAGTTATTTGTCTGTATCTTGTTGGCTAGAATGTGATGACAGATTGGTCATGATTTTCAAGGTTTTTCAAGCTACACAATTTTGCTGAAGACCTTCCTTTTGGTTTAATGCTGTAGCATAATAATAAACATTTTGAAGTAGATTTTTGAAGGTATACCGATGTGATGCTGAAACTAAAACTCATTTGCCTTGAAATATAATGGATCTTTTGTTATCTAATCAGGTCCAGTTAATCCGCAAGTCTCTCAGAAAACGACACAAGGAGCTAGGATCTGTCACTGTAGAAAGGGTCAACAATGTACAAGGTATGCAAATTTAGAAAAAATATGCTTCATGCCATCAGGACTGCATGATGCTGGTAAAGGGAGAAAATAAATACATACATGGTTTCAACTGTTTTTAGGTCACCTGAGCTTTGCTCAAGTGACCTATTCCAATCGCTTTTCGTCCGTCGTCGTCCGTCGTGCGTCGTTCGTAAACTTTTACATTTTCAACTTCTTCTCAAGAACCAGTGGATGGATTTTTTTCAAACTTGGTCAGAATCATCCTTGGTAGATGAGGCTTCAAAATTGTAAAATTGGGATTCCTACCCCAACCCCTGGGGCCAGGGCGGGGCCCCAAAGGGAAAATTATCCAATATTTCAAAAATCTTCTTCTCCAGACTCAGAGGTACTACA